CCCGAGGGAGTGGGGGCCGTCGCGGCGGAGGAGGGAGGGGAGGAGATCGAAGAGCTGGGTGTCGACTGAGGGCACGGGGAAGCCCTTGAGGCGCGTGCTGTTGGTTGATGCTCCGCCCTAGTTTTTGGAGTGGGTGTAAGAAGATTGTAGAGTTGTAGGTGTCTATGCCGGGAGTAAAGTAGTCCCGCTCGCTGGCGCTCGCGTAAAATTGAGGGCCCCGCCATAAAACCCACCACGGATGCTACCCCACAACCCACTGTCAAACTACGCTTCGCTCGCATTCCCATAGATTGCCTGCCCCTCCTCCTTCCCGATCACATCGCACTCGATGACCGCTTCCATACTCTAGAAACTCACATGAGCAAACGTCAACAACGTCCTGTTAATCTCCTTGGACAGGTACTGATCCCAGATTGGCAGGTTGTGTGAAAAGGTGACGGGCTGCTCCTTTGGGTCGAGCCAGTGGGCGTTGCCGACGTCAGAATAGGAGTCGCCGAAGACGATCAGCTTGGGCTTGAGTGAGGACGGTCGGAATTTGGGTTTGGTGGTGAAGGTGATGGTGCTGGTGGTCGACGAAGAGGCGGTGACCGAGGTCGAGGGTGGTAACGTGCTGCTGGCTATCGACGAGGAAATGGTGGTGAAGGCGACTGACGACGTCGTGCTCGTTGTTGCTTGGGTTGGTTGGGGGGCGGTGCTGCTGGTGGAAGAGGTCGAGGTTGTGATGGAGTCCAGGGAGTCGACGTCATTTGAGCCGGAATTGCCGTTCTCCGCGCCGATGCGGGCGGTGTGGAAGGCGGCGAGGCTCGCAGCGACGGCCTCCGCGATCAGGATCGTGGCGACAACGACCAGGACGATCACTGTCCGCCGCCGCCGCTGCCACACCGATGCCTCGGCCGACGCCGAGGGCTCGGGGGACTTCGGCCCTTCGGCCTCGGAGTTGGGCGATTCCGGCTCCAGCAGGGGTGAGTAGTCGGCCATCATGCGGGATTGGACGGTCTGAACGGGCCTCATCTTCGACAAGCGCCGAGGGCGGTGATGGCGGGGCGCCAAGCTAAGATTTCGATGCTTGAAGACAGTTGAGCATCAAGAGACTCATCCCATCAGCCCTGAAACCCCGTGAAACACCATTCCCGATGGACGTACGTCAAACATCCGCCGCCACGAAACACGGAAGGCGGAACGCGAATGGGAAGCCCCATCCGATATTCAATGAATGAAGCGTAAATGAAGTATCAACGACAGTCGAACGTCTGCCAAGCCCCATTTTATATATCCAATATGGTGCGGTCCCCAATCGGAGGGAGCGTCTTGTGAACAGTTCAGATGCAGGGAGAGCAGGCAGAATTGTTTCTGTCGTCGTGGATGTCGGGCGGCCGGGGACGGTGGGTTGCTCGTTGACATTTGGCAACTCCGGGAACAACAAAATGCGACCATCTTCACGGAATAAATTGTGGTGTTGCGTAAAGTTCTTACAATTAGTACGAATTGTGTCGGAGTGGACCATCGCATATCTATCTACTCGAGAAGCGAGAATGGGCAGTTGTGTTTTCCCCAGTTTCAGATGTTTCCCAGAACGCCACTCGCATAATACAAGCAAGCGCGCCACGTCCTGACTTTGCAGGCCGTCGTCATCCTCTTACCTGTCTCGCTGCTGCCCACACTCTCCAACCCTCGCGCGCGATGAGCCGATCAGGAGGCCGCTACGACTCTGTGCCCAAGGATGAGAACGAACACGTGGCCGCCGCCCCCACCAACAGGCGGCGGCTGATGCTCCTGACCGTCGCCGCCATCGTCGTATCGTCCATTGCCATCGTCGGCTCGCTCCAGACCTTGACGTTCGCTCCATTGGCTGCCCAGGAGGATCCCTCGGGAGCCCCTGTCATTAACGACGTTGACGTTGATGCATCCTCCACTGCAAACCTGCCACCCTGCGATCCTTACTCGCTGCCCGGCCGGCTGCATTCGGATTATGTGTTCAGGCCGTTCGATGATCTGCCCGGGACCAACTGCCGCGTCAACACAGAGCCCTTGAACAACCTTGAGGCCGCCTGGGCGGCCACGAATGGGACGGTGGACCTGCCGCCGCATCTGAGGAACAAGCTGGTGCTGTATGTCAGCGACTCAAATGACAGGAACACGATCATCAGCACATGCCAGAGGGTTAGTTAGTCACTGGATGGGCAGTCCCTTCTATTAAGCTTGCTGACTCGCTCGCGGCTGCCAAATAGATGAACGGAACTCTCACGACCCACATGATCCTCGATATCTCCATCATCCCGCCCGGTCAGGACAACCAAGGCGACGCCCGTCTCTGCGTCGTCCGCGGCCCGCCCGGGCAGGTCCTCGTCCTGGTCTTCATCTTCAACTACGGCATCTCCAACGACTCGGGCGAGCACCGGAACCACGTCCGACCGGGCCTCTCTGCAAAGTTCGTGGACGTCGTCGACTCCGTCCCGCCCTTCCTCGCGAAGCTCGCGCCCGTCTACTTCCCGGAGCTTCAGTCCTCCACCGCGGGTAGTTTCTTCACGATCCATCGGGGCCCGATCCGCCCGGACCTCATCGTCGCGCAGTCCTCGCTGTGGGAGACGGCCTACTGGGTCAACGTGATCCGGAACCGCACGCGCGAGACCAACACGACCTTTGACGTCGAGGATACGATGACCTACGGCTTCGCCCGCCTGCCCACCGACCTCCGGACTCGCTTCCTCCCCTCGTTCGAGAAGAACTTCAAGGGCGTGCCTCTGGTCTGGCGCACGTGCCCCACGATCGCGAACGACCCGGGGGAGGAGAGGCCAGCGTGGGTCGTGGTGCAGTACAACCGGTTCGTGAGGATCTGGCTGGGGAAGCTCGGCGTGAGGGTGCTCGACTGGGAGGTGCTGGTCGACGGCAGGGGCTGGACCGATGATAAGGTGCATCAGAACTGGAACGGGAGGATGGTGTACAGCCAGATGGTCCTGAGCGAGCTGGGGCGGATGTGGGAGATGGAGGAGTGGAAGAAGAAGGAGGTGGTCGATGGGGGCGAGGAGGATGGGGACCCGTGAGACGGTGGAAATGATCTCTTTTGGTGTTACCACACGTGCTTGAAAAGGGGCAGTGGACCTTGGCACCCCTCCTTTTCTATAGCCGCTTTTCTCGTTCCCGTTCTCGAGCCCGTTCTTTACTTAGACCTATTTATCGTGCTGTTGGCATTGCCGGCGTCAGTATCTTCCAGTAGCTGTTCTCCTGATACATCGATCATCCCCAAGTCCCATAACTTTTACCTTCAGTTACACACCGCGAATTTTGGGTCTGTCGTAAACAGCGTAAAGTTCGAAGTGGAAGGTTCAAATTGAAAAGGTTTGAAGATCTAATTTGTATCTGCCTCGCCTGCCTTCGCAATCCGGCTCGTTGTCGCGTCTGTTGAAAAAAAATGCAGCGAGAATGCCGTGGCACGTAGTTCCTAGCCGCAATGATCGATGTGTGCTTGTTGGCCAACAAGTTGACGTTGGATTTTTGTTTCTCATCCTCCTTTATACCCATATCTACGGCCAGTAACGCCTGCTACGCCCGGCAACGCCCATTACACCCAACGTGCCCCAAAAATTGGCGTCCCAGCGACGCACGATTAGTTCGACGGTCCTGGCGGGGCGCCCCCCCGGCGTTGTCGGCGTTCGCAATGGCGTTGTCGGCGTTGTCAGCGTTTTCGGCGTTCGCAATCCACACCATTTGGACACCACACCAGCCTGCTACAAAGCGAACTACCTGATTTTTGGGGAAAACGGCGACACTCACAGAAAGTTCATCGCTTTTGTTGTTTAACAAAAACAGTCATACCTTACAAAACCTATGATAGTTTTTGAGCGAAAAGCTATTAGAAGTACTACAGTACTACACTCCAATCGCGCGACGGAGGTGAGGATAAGAACGTTCGAAATTTTTTTGTGTGGATTCTTGGTACTTCTTTAGCAACGACATGATTTTCGACTGCACAGAACTCTCACTAACGCCTAACACCGAACTTCGGCTCCTAAACCCTCCATGTCTGGCTTACTCGGGCATCCCGGCTGGCCACCCTGCGCCTCCGGAACATCCCTAATATCTGCCATCAGCTGGTCCTCCTCCTCTTCCTACCTCTTATCTTGTTCACAGCTCGGGGTGCAATAATGCTCAGCAACCACATTGAACTCTTCACGCCGGCATCCTTCTCTCTCTGCGTAAGGGCACGAGACTCCAGAACCGGGTCCAGGGCAAGTGGGTGAACTTCGGCCGCTTTGGACAGGCAAGTTTGCAGCTCAGTATGGGTCCGCAAATCATCATCGAAGAAAAACCTGCGGGGTTCCAAGAATCCCAACGACATTCTGTTGCAAAAGGTAGCAATCGTGCCAGCAGGGAGTGTTGTCGCCCGAATCTTGGAGAAAACCATGTTGAGTACTTCTCATATATCTCCAGCCAAAGCAAACGATCACCATCCTGCTCCTGCAGCACCATAGGCAAAGCGATGGCAAATAGGAGAATGAAGGTTGTAAGCAAGAATCGGAACGCTGAGGTCTAGGCGGCCGCCCAATGATGAATCGAGCGGACGAGCTGGACGTTGAAAGGGGTGGATGCGGCGCAAAAGAGGACGGTGATGATGGTAGTTTTGAGCAAAAAACTACTGATTGTCGGCCCCAGGAATCGAACCTGGGTCTAGGCGGCCACAACGCCTCGTACTAACCACTATACTAGGCCGACTTTCTTTTTGTATGTTGGCAAACATAAAAGTAGATTTGTTTGCTCTTTGACTTATGGCACGGGCAACGACGGCGTCCTGATCTGCGTGAGCTGTGCAAGAAATGGTTTCGCGCAGTGTTCGCGCTTTGCGCCGCCTCCAACCGCTCTCATTCAAGATTATGATCAGTAGAGTTTTTAAAGACCTCGACCTGTCCGTCATTCTTCTTTACGGAGCCAGCGTTGTCAGCAACAGCAACGTCACGTCTCTGGTGCGCATCTCCCCACTTCTGCCACGAACTGCGCGGCAGAGGCTGCGGGTTCGCGATGAGACCTGCTAACACTTTCAGCAGATATTTGAGAAGAGGAACTAGTAATGCCGTGACAATGGGGTTTGGTCTAGTCAGCTGATGCTCCCGCAGCCGCGATCGTCTCTTCTTTTTAGTTGTTGCAGTATAATATCGATATGCGAAGGTTTCGTGGGAGAAGCGGCTGAGAGCGGCATGTTATTGGCACGCGTATGAATGCGAACACACAAAGGCTAATGCAATCTCGTTTAATATTAAAGTCTTCTGCTATACTTCGTAATGAGGCTTTGTTCCTTAAATGAGTGTCATCGACGTTAATTGGGGAAGGAAACAAAGTAAGGGAAGACAAAGCAAACGCTAACTCAAAATAAAGGACGACGAATGATAATGGTAGCTTGTCTCGGATACAATGGTAAGAGCCATGACATGGAGGACAAAGAATTATAGCAAAAAGGAAAGGGTGGAATGGTAGGAAGGGGTTTCAGTACAGAAGCACATTGAAACGAGGGAAGGTCTAGGGAAGCTTGTCAAAGGAGAAAAGTATCACTGACAGATTTTCCGGACAAATGGAAGCAATCCAAGGTCAATAGCGAAGTCCAAGCTAACATATCCACAGTTAAAAATCACGATTGGGCCGAAGCGAGCCGCTGCTTCCGGGCGATTTCTTTGTTCCGCGTGATGCTCCGGTCGATGTTAGCCCTCGACGCCGTGTCACGGATCTGTAGGCTCAGTTTGACAAGCCTAATTTGAAGAGTCAGTATTTATCCAGGCGATACTGCAACGAGGATCGAGAAGGAAAGAAAAAGTATGTCTTGTGCTACTCACGTCGTGTTTTTTTGCAGTGCCTTCGCAAATGCGCTCTCGGCTTCGGTGCCCGATGGTGACTTCTGGTTGCTCAAATTCAGCTCGAGCAAAGTGCTGTTAAACTCGAGGCACTCGGCCATAGCTTTGATCTGTGAAAGTGACAACATGAGATTTTCACGAAAGCACCCCCGGAAACGCTCAATGCTTACGCCGGCCGGTGCAATAACGTTGCTTTCAAGATTGAGAACCTGCAGATGGGTGTTCTTCTTCATCGCCTGCAAAGGAAAGAGTGTCAGGCACGGACGCAGAATCAACCAACTGACCTTCGCGATCTCAAAAGCTGTGATGCTTTGAAGCTTGACATTCTTCATGTGTACCTCCCTCACATGGGTATTTTTTGCAAGCGCGCTCGCCAGTGCGGTTCCATGCGCGACCGTGAATACGTTACAGTTGTTGAAGTCCACCCTCACGAGCTCCGGGTCGTTGCTTGCCATCAGCTCAATCGTGTGGAGAAGCTCCTCGAGAACCGGGTTCGTCGCCCGGACCGACGCCGTCACAGCGGAAGTCGGGACCGGTGGGCCTTGCTCTTTAGTCCGCGCGACGGGCGCCGCGGCAGGAGGTTGAGAGCGACGGGAAAAGGCGCTGGAGGTCGAGGAGGCTCTCTTAGAGGATGCGCCGGCGTTCTTCGGGTTAAAAAGGGACTGGAAGAACCCCTTTTTCTTCGTGACCGTGTCAGAGGGGATGGCAATCACACCGGGGGAGGTTGGGCCGGAGGCGGCAATGGTCTCGTTCGTCGAAGTTTCTAGGGCGGGCGTCTGCTGCGGCGAGGGCGTTGCAGTTGCCTTGACCTCTTCGACAGCGGCCGTCTGCGGCCAAGGTGGTAAGAGGGTCAAAAAGGAATAGAAAGGTACAAAGAAGAGAAGTTCAGAAGTGCATACCTCGATGGCCTTCTTTGAGAACTGGAACGCGCCTGCAACGGCAGTTCCGGCGCCGACGACCGAGTCTTCAACCTCTTCGACGAGATACTCGAGGAAGCTTTTGCGGCGGCTCGACTTCGTGCCCTCTTCTTCGCTGGAGGTGCTCAGAGTATCTAGGGGAGTTGGAACGACGACCGGATCGTCTGAGGACGCTGACTTCGCGTCGATCACCTCTACCTCCGTCACGAGTGTCGAAACCGCGGCAGTGGGAACCGCAATCTCAGCTACTGCGGAGTCCAGGGCAGCATCAGTCTTGTCAGTAACGGCCTGAGGGGTTTCCGTTGGTGTTTGAGGGGCCTACCAAAGAATCCATTAGAAACACATAGCAAAGAAGACTATTTACGAATGCTACTACCTCGTGGGCAGCGACCTCCCCAGACGTCCTCTTGGCCCCGGGTTTTCCGCCCCAGAGGTACGATGAGATGGCGTTGACGAGCCCTCGGGACGCCCGTCTCTCGCTCCGGACGGGCTTATAGCCGTCCGGATTCGCCGACTGCACCATCTCGTACTCCGCCGAACCCGACCTCTCGATCTCAGAGGTCTCCACCACAACCTCCGTCTCGACATCGTTCACGATAATCGTCCGGACCGTGCGCCGGATGATCCTGCGGGTCACCACCCGCGTGATAGCGTCGATCTCCTCCACAACAACGGTGTCCATAAGCTTATCGCTCTCGTCAACCTCCACTTCGGCGTCTTCGACGACCTCAACCTCGGTCCCGTCCACGATCGTCCTCCTAAGGACCTTCCGACGCACCGTCCGTATCCGTGTTGCCGGGGCTTCTGCGTCATCGACTGTCTCCACCTCAACGCCGTTCACAGCCTTCCTCCTCACCACTCTGCGAGTGACGACCGACGTCGACATGCTCGAGCTCCCTGAATCGATTCCAACCGCAATTGCATCGGGTTCCTCAGCCATCAAGACAGGCGTGACTTCCTGAGATGCCTGACGCGTCTCCGTGTCCGCGGCGGTCACATCGGCAAGAAGTGTCTCCGCGCCATCCTGGGCTCCGTCGTCCCCAGACTCCTCGATAATTTCTGTTTCAACGCCGTCCACAACAACTTTGTGCACGATGTGACGAATGGTTTTTGTCACTACGATCGGCTCCTCAACCTCCTCAACCGTTTCGACGACGGCCTCCGAGTCACCCACCGCGCCACCTGCGACATCTTCATCCTCTTCGATCTCCTCCACGACTTCCGTTTCGACGCCGTCAACGATCATTTTGTGCACTATGCGGCGGATAACCTTCTTAATGACCGTAGGCTGTTCAACTATCACCGAAGTCTCCACAATATCGTCCGAAACACCAGTCGTCCCTTCAGCGTCCAGATCCTCCTCCACCTCCTCGACAATCTCCGTCTCAGAGCCGTCGACAACCATCCTGTGAACAATTCGGCGGATGACCTTCCTTACGACCGTCTGCTGGTCACGCGCTTCGACCTCGTTGACAACGTTCGAGCCAGCTGCAGCATCGAGAGAGTCGCCGTAGTGCTCCGCCACTTCCAACGTCTCCTCTGTTGCGGGGGCAGGAGTCTCGCTCGACACAACCTCAACAGCGGGGGCGTCGATCTCTGATGCCGGGACAGCGGCATCGGCCTCGGCCGTGTCCGAGACTACATTGGTAACGATGGTAGTCTCCTATCAAGGTTGTCAGTCATTGGTATAGAAATTACGAATAAATCAGTTTGCTCACCTCAACGACGGTAACAACGTCCTCCGAGACAGTGATGTTGGCGGGCACGATCTCCTCCGACAACTCCGACTCGATCACAGCGACCTCGACAACGTTGTCGGCCTCGGCAGCCGGGCCAAGGGGCTCCGCCACAGCGGCGTCTCCTTCGACGATGGTAGTCTCCTGCACAACATAATGGCATTAGCATGTTTGCTTAGGCAGAACAGCGTTCTCACCTCCAGAACCACGGTGACGTCCTCCGTGACTTCAACGTCAGCGTTGACGTCCTGGGAGATCTCCTTTACGGAGTCGGCCTCGACAGCTTCGACCACGACCACCTCTTCCGGGAGAGGGGCGGCAACATCCTCCTCAACTTCCTCCTCCTCGAACACCTCTGTCTCTACACCATCGATGACTCTCCGTCTCAAGACCCTCCTGATGAGCTTGCCGGTCGACGATACGGTGGCCTCCCCAGCTTCCACCGCCGACTCTCCGGCTTCCACCACGGCGTGCGCGGCCGACGAGGCGGCCCCGGAGACGGTGTCCATAAGACGGCCGAAGAAGCCCTTCTTCGTGGCCTCCTTCGTGACATCCGCGGTGACGGTCGTGGTTTGCACGGTTTCCTGCATGCAAGTCAGCAAGCAGTTTAAAACGTTCGAGCGACCCACCTCAACGGTAGCCTCCTTCGTGACGTCCTCCGTGACGATGGTGGTTTCCACGGTCTCCTGCTCGCA